TTCGCGGTACTTATTTGCGTATTTAGTACAATTCACGAATATGTAGGCAAAAAAATATACTACACACATAAGTACATCCTTATGTATGTAAATGCAAATAATAGATTAATGTTCCAAAAGCTATATGTACCCTCTAGTACCGAGCACTAGTGAGGCACTAGTGAATTCACTCGCTACCGGTAACCACCACTAGCTACCCGCCAGATTACCAGCAATGCAATTTACCCATGAATTTAACATGGGGATGTCATAGGCAGTCACCAATTTACACCTACTAGATTACCATTCATCAGCTATCTCACTAGTTACCATTAGCTTCCATTCAGAAGTTAACTCACTAACTACAATTCACCACCTATCTCACTACCTACTATTAAGTTCCACTCATGAACTGCTTCACTAGCTACCATTCATTTATTTGACGAACATTTAAAAAGAGAAAAAAAACAACAACAGATATAAGATGAGCCATTTTCGACGTATCTCGAAATCCTGATGCTATTATTCAGCCGAATTCTGATTCAACATCGAAATATATGTATGATCATATGTACATATATACATATGTATGTCGAAAATGACTGCTCACATTTCTGTTGCTCCTTGTTGGTCTGTGTAATATAAATTAAATTTATTTTTGGTGGTTATTTTGGCTTATACATTTTGCCTTTATGAATCTATTTTTTTGCAACTGTATTGCCTTCCGTAACTGTTTCTCAGCCGGGCCTAAGTTGATGCCAATTGGAATTGATTCTGAAAATGAGAAAAATCAATTTAGAATCGTTTTTGGATTGGATAAGTACCTAAAAGTTTAAACAGACGGTAGCGTTGATCCGGATTAACTCGGACATAATCCGGATCAACTGCAGTTAATCCGAGTTAATTCGGTCAACGCTGCCATCTGTTTAAGCTTTAATTCAATAAAAAATTCCATTGATTTACCTATCAGTGCATCGTAAAAGTTGTCTAGACCCTTTAGAGATTTTTTACCGTGAATTCCATCAACGTTATATTCCTGCATCAACGTGTCGGACAATATAAATTTTAAATTTCTAATAACCCCTGCTGGTTGCAGAAGAGACTTCATAGACTTAACCTGATAGTTAAAGAGAAATTAATTAACGAAATTAAGTTATTAAGTTCCGATTAATATTTTTATCGTATTACATAGAGTGCGCGGTTTTCCTTGTCTATCTTCGCATTCAGCTCCTCCAGTTGCTCAGCACTTAAAACCGGAAAGTTGATTGTGGGCGGTATTTCCTCTACCTGCTGACGGTGCAACTGATTCACAACGACCTGGATGTCAGCTATTGCTACAATAGCAACTTGGAGTTGATCTTAGACAAGATTTATACATATTAATAAGTACTTTTATTTAAACTTAAATAATATTAATGCATACTATATATACATATGTACAGTCAATCAATAAAGTTTAGGTACAGCAATTTTTTTGCAATACGGGCAACTGCTTTTTAATTATTTTATTTTCCGCATTTTTTTTTTATAAAAATGTGGTTATCTCAGCAACATAAACCCCAAAAATCAGAGCTCGAAACCTTGCGCAAAATTAAAGGAAATTCAGCAAATTTTCATAAAATTATTGCACTCTTTAATTACACTCTTTTGAAAAAAGTTGAGAATGCAGTTTTTATCCCATTCAATTTTGGTATAATAAAGCTAGCTAGGACTTACCAATGATTTTTGACAAATTTTTTTGTTGAAGGTGTCGCTCATTTTCTCTATATAAAAAAAAATTTCCAAAATCATTGGTAAGCCCTACCCTCTTCAGACTTGCACATTATTACACTAAAATTAAATGGGCTTAAAACTGCATGCTCTGTTTTTTATAAAGAATGTAATTAAAAAGTGCAATATTTTGGTGAAAATTTGCAGAATATTCTTTAATTGGAGCTCGCATTTTTGGAATTTGGATCGTAGAATCAACCATATTTTTTATACAAGATTAACAAAATATAAAATAATTAAAAAACAGTATGTGTATTTAAAGTACACTGATGCTCATAAGTGCGTGCCCTTACCTCTTAAAACTTTGTTCTCCTGCTGCATTGTCTCTGGAAAAAATACACAAAATTAATATATGATAAGTTAGTAGTTAGTTTTTGTGTATATGCTTACAATGGCGAAAGAAATAATATAGATACCAAAAATCAGTGAATGTGCACACTGTGCAAAAAACGAACGTAAGTATAAATATAACGAACATTCAGTCCAAATGGATTATGGCGCTCTGATATTTTGGTGTTATACTTTTTCAATTCACCATTGCTGATGTTTGTATGTACCTTTCATTTCCTCAAACATATTTTCCATCTTCTTTTGAAAGGCTTCGCAGTTGCAGTTCTTTTCATGATCTAAAACAACAATTTTCACTTTTTAGAATAAACTTTAATTGGTAATATGTAGGCTCATATGTACCTTGGATATTGAAGTCCATACGTTTAAATTTTTTTGCGCTACTTCCATTCATATTTATATTAAAAGGTTAATATTGTTTTATGATGTATTCTGCTAATTATTATTATTATTAATATAGTTATTATACTTTAGTCTCTCACCCCAAACTTACCCCACTTCATTATACAATAAGCATCCGAATCAATCCCAACCCCATTTAACCCTCTAATCCCACCACCCAAACTTACTACTTATCTAACTATTTCTCCCCCAACATTGGCACTAAAACTAAGTCATTCTTATAGGGTATTCCAACAACCTTACATTCAACATCTAGTGGCGCAAAAGTTTCTTCTATGTCAATAGTTTCCAAATGCCTATACTTCTTGAATCTAAGGGCACATGAAAAAAACTGCGAATGTTTTTAAATTGTCTACCTATTATGACACCACTTTGATCTAGTGATTGAATTAAAATTGGAATAGAGCCCTTAACGTAGCAATAATTGTTTGGACTCTTAGAACTTAATACAAAATCTTTAAAAATACAAATTTTACCTAGTAATTTTTGGCTGATCTTGGCCTAAAGGAAGTTGGGAAGATTCTTCCATAATTTTTCTAAAAATTTGTTCAAGTATTTTAGTGGGCTTTCGAACGAAACGCTTAAGACTTTGCAAATAATTCTCAAAAGCATAGCAAGAGCCTTTAATTGGGTCACCGACAACTTCTACAGTATCTTTTCCGTGAAGTAAGCTGTGAACATTGTATGAAATACTATTATCGCCAAATACTACCGGAAAATTTTGTACAAATAGATTTAACATATTTTGAGCATTTTTTAAGTTTGAATCACGTCGCTTCGGACAACAAAGCAGTCTGTATGCGCAATGTAGGAGGAGGAATTGATAGTAGTAGTCGCCACATATCTCATCCTTAAGGGCAATAACACCAGTGTACAAAAGGAACTGCCTGAATTCTGTGGCTTTCCAATTTAACAGTTCATCTAGTGATCGTGGTTTTCGAGCAAACTCTTTTGGAATATATGGACGCATTAACACTAACTTTTCCGACACCATTTTTTTGTTATTCTTTGATAATTTTATAGCCACTTTATTACTGAGTAATCTTAATAAACATTTTCGAACCACACCTAATTCTATAAGGTGCATACAGTCCAAAGGAATTTGAGTCACCATTGACACGCCCAGCTTTTCAAACACTGATTTTTCATTCAAGTACTGCTCTGTATGATGCTTTACATATTTTCTCTTCGAAAAGTCCTCATTGCTTATTAACACTCCTGGGTTGGTACTATAAGTTAAAACCCCATCAACTTTTTTCGCTACTTGCGTGCACTTTGAGCACCCATTGCGAGATGTGTGCCCAGGTGTGCCACTAATGAATGCCCGTGCTGGAGCGTCACAAACTATTGCACGAAGCTCAACTTTAACGTTTTTGTTAGCTTTTTGCAAACCATTTCTCATTACATCTACCAGGTCATTAGAAAATTTCCGAAAAAAGTACTTCCAAATTATCTGGCTTTCTATTACCTAAAAACACGCCTATAGGAAAAACTGGAACATTTTCTAAATTATTTATTCTTCCTAAAATGGGCCAAAATTGGTCTTTGGCGCTTTTAAATAAAGGTAGCCCATGGACATTAATGTCAATACTAAGCGAAGGCGGAAATTCCAACACATTTAGTATTTTTTGTAATTGTTGGGATAATCCTACGTGGAGATATGAGCCACAAGCGACATTTGTGATGTCTGGTTTCGTAGAAAAATTTATTTTATAAAATGCATTTACATTTATTTGTTCCTCCCTTAAAATTTTCACCAAGTCCACAGCACAATCTCGCGAAGGCTTATGTTTATGGAACCACTTTCTTAATTTATCATTTAAACTGTGCTCATTTCGAACTTCCTCAAAATTTCTGTTTACATCATTAATCCTATTAAACAATTCCAGATTTTCTATATCCGGCACATTATTCTTTTTCGCTGATTCGGTTTTTTGCACAAATTCACAGTTTTCTGCGCGCCTAAACATCCCCAAATATTTGTCCCTCTCTGAACGCTGTAAGCGTTTTAAGTGCCTTTTGCTTATCATTTTCCCACTACTAATTTATTGGTTTTTAACAATTAATTATTACTATTACCAATATTTATTTCAATTTATTTTTTTCACCACCGAAACTGACACGTGACGCCAAGCACAAATAAATTGAAAACATTGTCGCTATAAAGTTCAATTCATGAATCAACAGTTGGAAAAAAAGCAAAAAAAAAATAATAATACGACTGTTACCTAGGTAACTCAGCGAATGTTGAATACGACGCATCAGTGAGAAACTAGTGAATTCACCGGACCTACCAGATTACCTGTAATGCTGTTAATCACATTACATGAGTTCCTAGAATACGCCACCCTAGTAAATTCACCAGCTA